CACACACGGGGCTACATGGATTAAAGAACCCGATCCATCAGTAAATCTGCCAGATGGCAGTGGAAGAAAGCTTGTAACTCTCTCACTTTCATTTCAACAGCAGCAAACAATGTTCAGTGTTTAAAATAAACTCTTCCAGATGAGCTAAAGATAAACTCTGAGGTGGGTGGACTTGAGCTTGCGAGGCTGCAGCTCTGAAGTGTTTGATTACATTAACACAAAACCCCTGGGTAGAACCCGCTTCTGTCAACAGAATGCTTAGACTGGAACACCTACTACATGGAGCCATTTCCTGTGCTTTCATGGGTTGGTGGCAGAAACGGGCTTTGCTTTAGGCACAAACTCATAATGATTATAAATTTCTCTGTGCTCAGCATTTCCTCAAACCATGTGTACAACTTCAAAATATACCTAAAGTGCCAGCATTTGTATGTTGGGCTTCACAGATAAAAATCTTTTAAATGTATTTATAACGTAAACCTCTAGTTACTCTTTCACCCCTACCGCTCACCTTACTGTGAGCCATTAGGATTTAGAACCATGCTGCTAATAACTGGATCACTCTTTAGATATATGGGGGTATGCAAAAAAAAAAAAAAAGGTGTAATTATTTTCTAAAGTCAGAATTTATAAAAGAAGTTAGGAACTTTGGTTGTTGTTGTTGTTTTTAATAGACTTTAAAACCTGCAGTTTAGGACAGATCAAGCTGTAATACCTCGTATGGAGCATGGCAACTTTTAAAGATAAAATAACGCACTGAAAAATAACTATTAAATATTCAGGAATGTAGCTATTTAACACAATTAGTAGATGCCTTAAATGAGAGAGAGAAGAAAACAGAGTGTTGATGATAAAAATAAATTTTAGGCTGCAAAGACCCTCAGGAATAAATACATCAACAAATAATCCAGTGTACTGGGATATATTAAAAAATAAAAATCCAAATTTAGATTAGAAGTCTTAGGGGCAATATGATTAACACTACGCAGAAAACAGTTATTACCAATTCCTCCAAGATGAAACTTTTTTAGTATGTTAGTGATAACTCTGTTTTTTAAAATGGAGGCCCTCTTATTTGGAATCAGTTGGTTACGTGAAAAAGTTGATTAAAGAAGGAAATCATAAAGATGTATCACATGCACCTCAAAATTACTATTTGGATTTAAAACATATAACACGTTCATTCATTTGCCTGTCTTCTGATGTAAAGTTAAGGGCTTGTCACTTGTTTTTCTGAGTGTGAGTTCATTTGGAATTCCACATTTGTACATTACACTCAAATGGGACAGTCTATGATTTCCAGCTTTTGTGTCTTTAAAAGGGAGTCAAAGTTTAAAGTCACTTGCAAAGCACTAAATATAGAACCTTTTAGATTTTTATATCTATTTTTAATATTTGACAGTTGTTTTGAAAGTTGTTCAACAGTTTGTAGTAATTTGCCTTATTTAGTTTTTACGAAGCACTGAGCTTACTTTTCATAGAAATTCTCTTTTTCTCTGTACTCATAAGTCATTGGTTTGTATTACGATTAATAACTTCTATTATAAATTATAACAAGCACAGCTAACACAGACACAGAAGTTTGGTTGGGTTTTCTCTGTCACTTCCTGCATCCCCAGAGCCTAGGATAATGCCTGACATGTAATAGGCATTCGATAAATATTTGCAAAATGACAAATGGATGGTACATGACCCACTCTTCTTAAGTGTATAATAGAACAGGTGGGAGCTGAAGTCCCAGGGGTGGGCTAGAGGGGGACTGTTAGCCTAGAGCATCTGTATGCTATGGCATCAGTCAGGATGTTTTAGAAGAAAAAAGAAAAGAAAAAGACAAAAGAAATAGAGAACCAGTTATTACAGCAAGTCGGTTACATGGTGGTTGGTTAAGAGTGCTTCTACTATATTTTGATCAGATATCTAACTCAGCAAAAGCTGTTTCTTATGGTCTGCATAAAACTGAGCACTCCATCTAACTTTCCTCGAGGAATAAACCACCTTCCTCCGTGTTAACCTGAAACTAATTTAACTCCCCATTGTCTAGAGAAGGTTTGTGAAACATCTGAAGCTGTCTGTGGGGGCCAAGTTCCTGAAGGGTGATTAGTAACATGTTCCCTCTTCAGTGTTCTTAGGACATTTGGAATCAATTAAATATTCAAATATAGGTTCTCTCAGATCTCTAGCCAGATCCAGCAAGTTTGTGAGGGGAGGGAGTTGAAGGCAGATAACTGCTATTCCTCACACCAAAAATCTATAGCTGGAAACAAAAAATATACTCTCTAGACTTCCTGGGTCTGCAAGCAAATAGTCATACAAGCTTATTCATAAGGAGAAACAGCAGGAGCCTTATTAAGAAGTGGGAGTTACAGCATGCACAAGAAGTGCTACCATACACAGCGTCTTAAAGACAAATAAGTGAATACCTTGGGCTGTGGCGTAAGTACAACAGTATGGCCCCGCGAGCTAAGAATGGTTTTCACATTTTTTAAAAGATTGTTAAAAAAAAAAGTAACAGACTGTATATGGCCTAATAACCTAAAATATGTACAACCTGGCCTTTTATAAAAAGCTTGCTGACCCTTGCTTTAGTTTTGTTTCCATCATATGTACTACTATAAATATTACTATTAATAATTACTCTTAATAGTGATGATTAGGTGCATTAGGGAAGGGGAAATTGACCATGGCTCATATGTGTCAGGCACTTTGCTAAACGCTTTACGTATTCTGCCATGTATTCACTAGGCAATCCTTTCAAGTTGGCATGATTTCAATGATAGAGACGGGAAAAACAGAAGCTCAGAGAGGTTAAGTAACTTGCCAACATCACAGATGGAATTAAGTAGTGGAGCTGTTAAACCCGACATGGTTGTGTGTTTCAGCAGTGAAATTGCTTTTCCAATTAAATACTACTTAGAATATCACTATATAAAATAGTTACGCTGAGTAAAATGGAGGCAGAAATCCCAGCAACCTCACCCCTTTTCAGAATCAGCTGATTGAAATAGAAGTCAGTAGGTCAAAAGATGGAGCCAATAGCCAACATGGAAATGGGTTTCCAATTCAATTATTCCATTAGCTGGCACGTCACACACTTCTAACAATATTCTCTAGGGGTCAGAGGAAGTATCAAAGTAACAGTGAAATGGTTAGAAGTTAGTAGAAAGGAGAAAGAAGAGAGCAGCAAAAGGTTTAAATAATCTTCAAAATCTAACAAGTCATACTAGAGCTATTAGTTCTCAATTTCATCAAACACCGGGTGGTAAGGACATCTTCCAAATGGCCGCTCATTTTACCTTAATAGTTGGTGTTTCCAGATGAGTTTCTAGTTTTCCATCATGATAAATTAATATATCCTATTTTATTATGGTGCCACAAACAAGAACTCTGAAAGGCTCAACTCTTACAAAAGGTCCAAATCCCCTGAAAAGCATCAGGTATCAAAATGCAGCCAGAAAAGATGGTATTAAATGAAAAAAATAAAAAGGGCTCCTTTTTAATGAAGTTGAGGTGTAGGACAGATTTATTAGCTTCCATTTTTCCAAGTTGCATTCTGGTGTATTTCCTGCCCATATTTCTAAGTTCAGCAGGTCTCTTTGTAGGATTAAAAAAAAATATGTTTCAAAGAACTCGATGCAGCTATACCCACTACACCTGCAAAGACACACCTGTGATGATACGTACAAACATGAAGTGTTCCTCATATTCACAACCCAATGCTCTAACAGAAAACAGACCTCTGTGTGCTCTGCCAAGATCCCGCCATTCTCAAAAAGAACTGATACTGGTAACCAGATATCAAAAGCCTGAAGAATAATAACCTATCAAAGATTACCTCTGACCAAAACGGTCATTAAATTCAGTATAGTTCAGTCTGTCCTTTACTGTCATAATTCCTTTTTTCCAAAATTGATAGTTAGAACAAATAATCATTTTTGATGCTATCATACAGATGCCTCCCACATTCCTATCTAGACTTTATTTTTATGCACACCACCCATTCCTTAGTATTCATTAGAACATCATCGTTCAGTGTTTCCTGTATGTCAGGCATACTTGATGCTTGAGGAAGAAAAACTAATGAGAGTATAATAATAAAACCTTCCCTTGGAAAATTCCAATTGTCTAGCTGGACTTGTGAAAAAATCATCAGTGCACTCAATTCCTAGTAAAGCTGCCAAGATCAATGGCAACAAAGTAGAAGAATTGGTTCTGCCTCCAGGAACGGGAGATGGGATACGGTTCAGGGGATTGTTGAAATGTTGAAGGGTAAGTAGTGTTCCCAGTGAAAAGGAGGAGGGTGTTCCAGATTGAAGGGACAATAAAAGGAAAGGCCAAGAGGAAAGGGAGTAGATAACTGGTCTATACTGAGGACTGGGTTATACAATAGAGTAACTATTGTATAATAGAGATGTGCTGACATTAGTCGCTAGCGACATGGGCCTATTTAAGATTAGAAATTCAGTTCTCAGTCACATTTTTAGTACTCAGTAACATTATGTCAAATCTACCATGGTAGGCAGTGCAGAGAATTACTTCCTTCATTGTAGAAAGTTCTACTGGACAGAACTGAGTATAAGAACACAAGGTAAGCCTTTGGCAGTTCACGGAGAGTCTAATGGTTTATAAATATGTTCTACCAAGTCCCTTCCGGTGGTGGGGGGGGGTGCGGGAGGGCTCCATCCTTGTAGCATTTGTGACCTGTTTCACCAACCCAGCTTCTACATTTGAGGGAGGCTTATTTTAAAGAAAGAATTCTGCAACTTTAAAAAAAAAAAAAAAGAAGACTGGAGACCCACGGTATGGGTAATTGGAAACCACCACAGGTTTTTAAGCAGGGACCTGACAACCTGACACAAATTTGGGCTTTAGAAACATTACTTCTTAAAGCAGCAAACAAGGTATGTGGGAAGGAAAGACACTTGGCATACCAAGATCAGTAGAGACTAATGAGATGATAAAGAGCTAATTACAGTGAAACTTCTAAAGAAACAGACAATTAAGAATTTTCATCAATTTATTTCAAGTAAGAACTGTGTACACACACCAGGCATATTATTTCCATACCAGCATTATAATAGAAATATTTAACAGTTTGGCCATGAAACTCAAAGATATTTTTAAAGCTTCTCAAGGTGTCTCTTTTAAGTAACGTTTGTAATCCATGCTTTTTCAATTACAATTTTAAAAAATATATAATTGTGTTGTTCATTATACTTATGTTTATTATTTATAACATCTTTTCTGAAATTTAGTTTTTCAAAACATAACTTTTTCATAACTTCACATATCCTTATGTACTTTCTAGCAGTACTATGTGAAACCAAAATTGTTTTCAAGTAACAAGTGCTCAGGCCACACCCCATTCCTGATCACAGATGTAACTGATGACCAGTTTTATAAATAGCTCTTACACAACTTGTGTCTATTTTAATATGCCAACCATTACTTCACTGATATCCCAGAGCTTCCTTGCAACAGACTCATCCATGGCTTTCGGCAGTAGCTCTTCCTCTTTGCAATCCCCGAAGTACTTTCCTGACACACCTTCGACCTCCGGTGAAGAGGCCAAATAGACCGACGTCTGGGCACCTTCCACTGGGCTTTTGAAGAAAGCCCACGACAGCAAATTGAAAAGTGGTTTGACTAACAGTGGAATGTGTATGTGTCTCCCTAGATTAGTCCGCACAATGCCAGGGTGTAAAACATTGACAGTAACATTTGTGCCTTCTAAGCGGCGGGCTAGTTCTCTGGTAAAAAGAATGTTAGCCAGTTTGCTCCGACTGTAACAAAAGCTTTTATTGTAGCTTTGCTCACTGTTCAAATCTTCGAAGTTGATGTCTCCGTATTTATAAAGTTTGGAAGACACTACCACAACTCTGCTGGGCGCTGAACTTTTGAGGAGTCCAAGGAGAAGATTGGTGAGTAGGAAGTGCCCCAGATGGTTCACTCCAAACTGCATCTCAAAGCCATCTTCTGTCTTTGTATAAGGGCACTGGAAGATCCCTGCGTTATTGATCAGGACGTCCAGCCTGGGCTCTTCCTTTAAATATCAAAAAGAGAACGGCAGAATTATGACCACAGACCTTAAATGTACCCAAAATAAAAACTTTTAGAAGTCAGCAAACTACTAAAATTCTATAAAATCCCTCTATGAGTTTTCAACAATTGAGAGAGAAAGAAAAAAACAAACAAAAACAAAAACAAAAAACGCTTGTATGCTTAGATGGCCTTGTGCTTTTCACACGTCATCTACTCTCAACAATTCTATACAGAAAGAGAAGCACCCAAGTTAGGTGATTTGTCCAGTATCACAGGGCTCCCAAGTGGCAAACAAAAATCTGAAGGTGACATCTCACACCAATGTCTGGGCTCTTAAATAATAAGCCAGCTTGCTTTTCTAATTGGCCTTTTCAAACCAGAGAGTCATTGTGAGCTAGAGAGAGGACATGCAGCAGAAGACAGGTCAGCACTGTATATTCCCAGAGCTACAGGTGTCAACGCCCGGAGCAGCGTAGGATTGCTTCATTTAGTAGTTTTCTAAGGGTAAATGGTACCATGGAGATGGAGCAATTTCAAGTCGTTTCCTTAAAACTGGGACAAGCAACTGAGTGGGTCAGTGATGCAACTTAAGAGGAGAGAACATCATGAGTAAATCAAAGTAATACTAAAAAAAAAATCATGCAGGTAATACTACAATATCAGAAACAACATAATGAATCATGAATCCTAAGGCTCACAGCAACAGCAAAGATTAACAGAGGAGGCAGGCCCAACAAACACCTTTAACCTCTATTATGGCTCTAGAATTCAGTGGTTTTTTTTCACTACATGAAACCTACCTCCCTCATTTGAGGAGCCCCCACCATAGGAGATCTGTATTGTCAAAATTCTTCTGTTTGACCAGATCCTGCTGCAGCTTTCCAGGTTAAAGGCCTAAAATTTAGACTGTTTCAAAGGGAAGTCTTCTCATTCCTTAAACCATATAAGTTGGGTTTCCCTCGTCTTTCCTGGCTCCTCTCTGTCTCTTATGATGGGCAGAGAAAATAAATGTACAACATGCTCCAGGTGTAAAGACAGAGTGATGACCCACGATTAAATTAATTTGAGGTCAAATTTCAAATTTCACTGGCCCTTCTGCCAAGCGTAAGTGAGAAGAAAAATGGGTTAAATTTCACAACTGTTATCAAAGCCTACCCGTCGGAGGATTAACTATTTCTCATTCTGTCTGTCTAAGCACCTTTAGCTTTTCGAAGAGTCTGCTTCAAAAAGAAGGCAAAAGTTCACCCGTGGGGGAAAGAAAGGAGTGTTCTTTTTCACTAATCCTTTGGAAGAGTTTCCTGTATTAATCATTTCTGAGCCATCATTCTTTGCTGGGCTTGTGTTATTTTAAGACTTTATCATCTACTATTTTTTAAATTCTAGGAGATAAATGACATAAATACCACGAATACCAACCTGTGGGAAATTTACATGTCCATTTTTTAAATAAATTCTGGTTATAGTCACTGAACTTCAGAGCCAGCAAGGAACTTAATACTTAGAAGCAAGGACAACTGACTTATCTCTTTATCTCCTTAACTTTTTTACTTGTTCTATCCCCAGTGGCCAAAGTAGTAAAATACCATAGGTTGGTATCAGGGATGAGAAGTAGATCCAGCCACATTTACATTTTAATGAAGAATAGGAATATCCAATTTCACTGCTTCCAACCTCTCTTATACATCAGTTCTTAATTTTAATCTGCTTTACCTGAAAATGAAGTAGCCATAGAAAGAAACCCCCCCCCCCCCCCCCCAAAAAAAAAAACAACAGAAAAACCTCTCTAGATCTGCAACAGCTCCCAAAAAGTGCCACAAGGAACTTAGAGTCACAAGGAACTCCCAGGGTGCTATGGAGTATTAAATCAAGGGAAACAAAGTGCTACTCTGCTCAACATCTCAAAAACTATTTCCAGGGGGTTCATGGCTTCAACATTATATTGTATTAACTTCTTTTTGATGATGTCACATCTTTGCAAAGCTGTTTTTAGCAGTTGCTGCAATAAGATGAATGGGCAAGGTTAAAACTCGATGTAGAACAAGAAATGAGGGGGTCGCTGTCCAGTCTGATTCCAAAGCCGGAGCAGCTGATGCAGTGAACAAGCGGTACCCGTTTCCCGTTGGTGATTGCGGTTACTGAAGAATGAAATCAATACATCTTTCTTTTCTTTCATTATGCTACTATTGTTTTTCAAACAGCTACTAAGTTGTTATGACATCAATACTTGTTAGGTTGTTTGAACATAATTACTGAATATAAATGACCTGGTAAGGTATTTCTATTGGCCTAAGGACATTCTGAACAAATGAGTACGTTTTGGAATCACCCAACTTTCTCCAGTGTTTCATGTGAGCACCTTTCCTGTGCCAGCTAACTGTAAACCTCTACTTTTCTGAATGCCCTCTTGCAAGTCACCTAGGTAGGAAACTCCTCCATGTCAGTTTCAACAGAGGACATCCACTTCTGGGGAATATCCATAATTGAACCAAGGCAATCCTCCATCTCACTGGCAGGCCCAGGAGTGAGGAACAGGAGTTAAAAGCCAGGGCTCCGGAGACACCCCGGGCAAAGGCCTTCGCCCGCTGATGCCTCGGTTCCCTCACGCTGTCAAGTGGGGATAACAAGGCCGACCGCACAGGGTTACCGTGAGGCTTCCATGACTGGAACAGCCAAGGGCTCTTTAATTTCATTAATTTTTTTTTTTAAGTATCTGAAATGCTTGCAACAGCTCCTGGCATACAGGAAATCGCCAATAAATGGTTATTTCTGTCCCTGTGTAGAGCACAGGACCCCCGGGACTCCAAGCTCCAGTCCATTTGGAAATCCGGCCTGCGTGTGGTTAAGGATGGTGCCGATTCTGCTGGTGGCGCAGACCTGAACTCGCTCCAGGGTCCTCGGCCGGCCACTCGCCCCACTGGCTCTCAGGCTTGGTGCCCACTCCCTTACAGGGAACACAGGAAAGGCAGCCCAGAGGGCTGGCCGACCCACCTCCCGGGCCGTCCGCACGTAACTAAACACAAGGTCACAATGTCCTGACTCTGGCTGATTCTCCTCTGGGGCCTATTTTTTTCTCGACATGCTTGTAAGCCGTAAGGCTGCCCTACTCATTTTTTTCCGTCTGCGAATCCCACGCCGCCTCAAAATTATGCAATTGTTTCTACTCTGGGTGTCCGTCATTCCAAGGTCACACCCCCTCGACCCTGGGCGGACCCGCCCCGCCTCGCCCCGCCCCCCGAGGCCCCGCGCTCGCCCCCGGTCTCCAGCCGGCTCCCCGAGCCCACACCTGGAGCATCTCCTGACAGAAGGCGCGCACCGAGCGCAGCGAGGCGAGGTCCAGCTCCTTGATGACGAGCTCGCCCGCCCCGCAGGCGTCAGGGCCCGGCTCGGGGCCCCCGGCCTGGCGGAGGTCGCGGCGGAGCTGACCCGCCGCCTCCTCGGCGCGCGCGCGGTCCCGGCAGCCCATGATCACCCGCGCCCCCATGCGCAGCAGCTCGGCGGCCGTGGCGCGGCCCAGGCCGCTGTTGGCCCCCGTGATCAGTACGGTCTTCCCGTGCATGAGGCCGGCGTTCCCGCCTCCGTGCAGCCGCTGGACGCCGGCCCCCACGAACCGCCGGGCCGCCAGCCACAGGGTCCCACCCAGTGCGGCCAGTAGTGCCGCCACGGTAGCCACTGCCATAGCCGCCCAGGCTCAGGGCCCACCGGGCCCTGCACGGGACTTCCGGAGTCGCCGCGCGCTGCGGGCGGAGGCTGCCACCTGCACGCGAGGAACTCTGGGGCGCGGCCTGTCGACCCCTCGCGGAGCGGCGTGTGGCATGCTGGGACTTGTAGTTTCCCTTCCGAGGGCATCTGCTCGGTTATGAGAGTTCCACGGTGTAGGCCGTGGTGACTCCTTGGAGCCAGTTCCCATCGTGAGAGCGGAGGATGAGCACAGTGCCCCGTTCTCTGGTTTCTGGGGCTCCTGCCCATGGAAATCCCAGAGTGGTGGTGCTTCTCCGGGTGAATGGCTAATGAATACTTCGAATTTACAAATCACTTTATAGGCTGGCTTACAAATCCCACACTTCAGGGATGGATGGCTTAGTGTGATTTCCGTTAAGCTCCTGGGACTTGTGAACCCTCAATTCACTTTACTTTCACCCTCTGGAGAACTGTCCCTGTCCACAGGGACCATTTATTCCACACTTCTGTAATTTGAAGCTGCCCAAGTCTGAGGAAGGACTTTTTCTTTTTTCCCACAGATAAGGCTAAGAATTTAGCAACATGAATTAGTTGGGGGTAGAATGGGCCGGTGATTGTCAAACGTTAGCGTCGCATCAGAACCACCTGAAGTGCTTGCAGAAACAATAAAAAACAAGTTGCAGGGCTCTGGTACCAGAGTTTCGAATTTCATTGGTCCAAGATGGGCTCTGAGAATTAGCATTTCTAACAAGTACCCAGGTGTTTCTGATGCTGCTGATCTGGGGACCACAGTTTGAGAACCGAAGACCATTATGGTATTGATCCCTATAGAAAAGGAATCCTTAAATGGTCTTATTTGATACTGGCACAGATTCGGTAGGAAAAGCTTGCACTTACTGTAAACATAGACTTCTGGAGCAGGCCACATCACAAGTTCTTTCCCACACCCTCCATGAGAATATTAAGTGTAAAAATCAAGGGAAAGTGTTTTATTCACTGAAAAATACTTCAGAAATGTCAGGGGTTATTGCCACAAGGATCCATCCATCTTCAAGCTGCAGAATTCATGGCTTTAGACCAAACTACTCTTAAGTGGCCATTCATCTACTCTCCCATCCAACAAGTGCCAGGCCCTGTGCCCTGTGAGAGCCACGGGGAAATTGGGTGCCTATGGCCTGGTGCAGAAAATTTCACTGCCCCAACCCCATTCTAGAATCTTCAGAACAAGAGAAGACACACAAAATGTGTATCGCTTGAAATATACTCCCTATAAGGTGGGGCTTTACTCCTCACTTCTGTCATTTGAAGCTGCCTTTCAAACTCACTGAGCCCAGGACACCTCTGTTTCTTCTCTTCAGTTTTATCCATTTTCTGTCCTTCAAAGACCAGCTGAGGTCCTTTCATTTCCTGACCACTTCCAGCCCATACAGATATCTCCTGCAACCTCATGGGTGACCCTCACTTGGCACTGAGGACAAACAGCCCTCCAGAGTTGGCTATTTGAGTTTGCACATTTGACTTCCTCTTTGGGATCGTTAAGGTTTTACATTTCCTCAAGAGTGGGATTATGTCTGAGACTCTTGTGGTCTTCACATCGGGGAGTGCATAAAAAACACTAGATACTCAATGAGTGTCACGACTGATATACTTTGGACGGGCTTATATCAAACTGGGAAGCAGGTCACAAGATGTATTTCAGCAACAGCCTTTTTCAACTAGAGCCAGGGTAGAATTTGCATATGTAGGTGGGGTAAAGATGGAGGACCAACAGGGTGCATGGAGAAGACAGGACAGGGAGCCTCAGACCTGCTATGTAACTGCTGTGTACCTTAAGCATAGAGCTTAATGGAATGACTGATGTGTTCAGGGTGGTTCCTATACCCATGGAATCAATAAGAGCAACTCATTTTGGAAGGCTGTATAACACAGAACAAAAAATAGACATAGCTTTTGAAGTAAATAAGACCTGAATTTGAACCTTAGTCCTACTATTTATTAGGTGCTATTCTTAGACAAGCTACTTCATCTTTTTTTTTTTTTTTTTGCATCTTAGGTTCTTTATTGATTAAAAAGGAAGGTTACAATGTTATGTCACAAATGTTTGGTTTGATGAGAAAATGAGGTAACGTGAAAATAACCAGCTCACTGTACCTTAACGTGTAGATTATGGTTCAGAACCACAGTTTTTTGAAAAGGAAACAAAATCACACAACAGAATGACAACAATGAAAGGTCAGGATGCTACATTTCGTGTCCCATTTTGAAGCAGTGACCAAGGCTTATTTTGACATGCAAACATTGGGCCTACCTGCCCGGCCTAAAACCGGAGACTTCAAGTATGAAGCCCTGTGGTCCAGAGACAATGAACCCACCAAATAAGTATCAAAGTATCTTTCCTAGGAGGTTCTGTTTGGAGCTCATCTTAGATGGAAAATGCCCTGTATGAATAATCAGCTGATTTATTCCTGAATGACTAGTATCAAAATTGGTATACACATGCAGGTGGAGTCACATTTTCATTTTGCATTGATTTAAAGGCTGATCATAGAGTCAATAAACTAAAAAGCCTCTAATTTTCAAGAATGTCCTTTACTCTTTCCACCTTTGAAGACCACTGTTCTATAATGATGATGGGTAACAATTTATTCTATTTACCAACATCCAAAAAAGAGCAATGCTTTGTCAGGCTAAATAGGCTTCTGACATAGCCCTTTAAGCATTCACGTTCTAAACTTATGCTGCAGAGTCATCAGTATGACTTACACACAAAGGTAGGTGCAATTGTATTCAACAGCATTGACGGCTCAGAGTAGCTTGAAGGTAACTTGAGGGTTCGAAATGTTTTTGAAAAATTAAGAGAAAATCTTTCCAATGAACTAAGTTCTGAGGTCTAATCATCTGAAATATCTTCCTAATTACCCTAGAGATCCACAGGAAGTGGCATCTGTAATACCAGACTCACTGCTTGCTTTCTCCTCCCGATCTCTAATTGTTCATTTTTTGATTAATGCCATAAGGTGCGTGAGCTGCGGTGGCGCCAAATTTCTGTGCCCCTTCACTGTGGAACATACGGTCATCAAAGAAGATGTGGGGTCGTATTTTCACTAAGATGGGACCTTTGGGGGCTCCAGCAAGGAAAAGAGCTTCGTCTATCTCTAGACCCCAGCGGCGAAGAGTTTTCAGCACTTTGGCACCTGAACTGGATGCACTCCTGGCTGTGACCAGGTAGGTCCTGATGGGGCAACAAAGCCGTTCATCTTTGGCATAAAACTTCTTTTGCAGTCTGCCTAATTCTTCCAGGAAGCCTTTCAAGGGACCCTGTCAAAGGAACATATGTCATAGCTGTGATCCAGTGGGTCAATGCAAATGAAGGCTGAAAAAGCAGAGGTTTATAAGAGCTTATAAACAGATACAATACCGTATGCAGTATTATAAAGCCTATGACACAATGCTGAAACCCCTTGCATTTATGTAAATATATTTCCTTATATGGAACCATCCTTGCATTCCTGGAATAAACGTAGGATGATCATATAATTTATTGTCCAAACACAGATAGTTTACAATTGAAAGAAATTTCTATTAAAAAGTTAAACCATAGCAAGAATATAAGCCATCAGTGGCAAAGTGGGATACTCCAAATAAAGTTCAGTTAATTACCAAAAGCACTCTTTTAATTTGCTTTTTGTGAATTGCACATTTTAACATTAGGAAGTATATTCCTTCATCTTGTTTAATGCCCGGTTGGTTTGGATCTAGCTTTGTCTTGTATTTACAAATATTTGGTTTATCGTCACACTTACTTTTATTTTCAACCTTCCCGAACACTTAGTTTTTGCTGTAGCTCTGGTATAAAGCATAGAATAGGATTTGCTATGTGATCCAATCTGAAAGTCTTAATTTTTAAAACAAAAGTTGAGTTTTAGGACATTTATATTTATTGGTATTACAAATACACATGATAATGGTCCTGTCTTATGATTTTTATTGTATTTTTCATGTTTAAAGCTTTTAAAGGATTGTTCACCAAGTGTCTTTTCTCTTTATGCATGTGTATGTGTGTGTTTCTTCTAACATTTAGGAAGGTTTGTATTATTTCCTTCTGTTGGTTACCTTTATAACTATAACTTTTTATACTACCATCAGTACTCTGTTTTTCAAAATCCTGGATCTATTATTTTTTACAATGAGAAATGATGAAATTAGGGTACTCTTTTACCTCTCTCTTGCTCTCTATTTCTTCTTTAGCCATCCAGTTATACTTGTTTCATCTTTTTCGGGGTTTACATTTGCATTAGTAAAGATTCTCATATTTCTATTTATCAGCTTTACATTTTATCCTTTGATTAGCTATTGTAAATGAACATATCAGCATACTCAATCTTCCTTAGGCCTTTTCCTTCACATTTTTCCAGTTTTCATTAGTTACCTAATTTCTACATTGTTAGAGCATGTCATATTTCTGCTCCCTAATCCCTACAATTGTTTTAGTTTTGGTTCTATGGTTAAATATATGTATCGTAGGCCCATTTATGCCTCTTTGTTTCTAGTCATCTACGTATTGGCCAAAATGTGTCCAACTGTACTAGTTTCCTCAAGAAAATCTTATAGAAATAATAATTCCTAGAATATAGTAGGTTCTCAACTGTTGACCTGTTTCCTTTCAACCTGAATCAGCTTTTGGCTGGATATAGAATCTGTGATTTGTATTTTCTCTCCGTGTGATAAGTAGTGGTCCACTGTGTTTTACTATTGAGTGCTCTTGTAGAGAAGAAGGCTGAGTACAGCTAGACCTCCCCCGTGCAACTTGTATGTGCAGGTTGCCCAAAGAAATATTTCTTCATCTTTGACCTCAAATAATTTTACTACGGCATGTCTCATAATCATTCTGCTCTATTTCCCTATTACATACTGTGGCCTTTCGTCTTTTAATTGTTTAGTGTATGTATGAAAATCTTCTGGTGACTCAGGATTTTTTCTTGATTTATATTTTTATACACACATGCATCTTTATGTTGACCACACACAACCCTCTTCTCCTCTCCCCAGAACATAAATTCAGTGTTTTTCTTCAAGGATTCCAGTTATGCATATGTTGGATTTTCTTTACCTGTGATCTATTTCTGTCATTTTTCTCTCCAAAATCTTACTTTTCAATTGTACTAATTTCCAGAGTTCTATCATTTAACAATTTATCATCTCTTCCCTGATTCTTGCATTTCCACTTCATGACCCTACTTTATTACGTTTTTAAGTCATGGCAAATGCTTAGTCATAACTTTCACGTGTACTTTGGCATATATTTGTAGTGAGAGTTTTTCATCTGTACTTGATTTTGCTCTTCTTTGTCTGCCTTTTTCTCATGGAATCTTTGCTTATGTTCTGTGCTGGTCCCCTTTTTATTACTCATTACTGAAGTAGATTGGTTTTCATCAGAACTGTTAGGTGACTTCTGGGAAGGTGAGGCATAGTATTTGAACACTGACTTGTTTTCACAATTCAAAAGCTCTCTTCTCTGCTGTCATAGAAACAAACTTTTCTGCAAGCATGACTATTGATGTGATCATTTACTTATTTTGCTTTCTCTGAGGCTGCATATATCAGAAAACAACAAGTAAAAATTCACTTCATAAAGGTGAAACACAAATACATAAGTAAAAAACTGTAACTTTTTTTTTTGAGATACAACAGCAAACAGGGTGTGGGGACCATTGATAGAAGCCACCTTGCTCACAGTTTGGTTTTGAAACACAGAGGAACACAGTTTTTGAGTACCTCCCAAAGGGAAGAAATAGGGACTGGTCTGTTTATGTCACCATATTAAAACCAGGTATCATTCTTTCCTCTATTTTTGGATGTGTTTTATAGTTTATATATTTGTACAGTAGTATAAGCATATAATTTATCAATGAAAATACAGAACTATGAAGGAGAGCTACTCAAAAATATCTTTTTGAGGAACGTGGGATTTAAAACATTTGGAATCTACCTAAGATGTAGAAAGCTGAAAAGACTGTAACTCCCAACAACAAGAAAAACCCAGATAATCTAAAAAGTCATAACTTTTCTTGAGTCTATTAGAGAGCTGAGGTAATAGGGCAACCAACTAACATGAAATCTAAGGGAAAAAAATCTAAGGAGACACCTAAGGTATCTTCAAGGACAGATGGAATTCCAGAACTGGCACATCTTTGGCAGAGCACTGAAGGAAGACATACAAGACACTGTACAAGCAAGTATGAAAAATTCAGGCACTTTTTAAAAATTAATAAAGGCAAAGTGTAGGCTAATGAGAGAGCATGGAAATCCTGGAAGCTGCAGATACAAGAAATACTCCCTTGTGGGCTTTTTTCCATGGACTTGGCTAGTTGCTTATGAGAAAGATTGCAGGTAGGGTGGGAGATGAAAGAATGCAGCCCTTGGTAGCGCAGGCTTGGAAGAGAGGACCACCTGCCGCTGTGAGAAGACTAAAACTCCACATTGTCCCATATCTCCTAAGGAACAAAAGACTGCTGGAAGAAGGAAGTCAAACACTGTTCCCCACCCAGAGCACAGGTAAAGATGCTCTACTATGGGGGGAGGGGAAAGGAAAACCCTCCACTCCTGGGAGAGGCACAGGAGACTCTTATGGACCCAGGCCATTAGGTAGTTTCTGTCACTGGGGGAAAGGCAAGATGAATGATAAAACTTCACCCCTAAGATGTAGGGAGATACAGGTTCTGCACTAGATTTAGGCTGAACTAGGACAACAGAGAATGCCCCTCAACCTGTCATCATCAAGCTAGCTGGAAGAGACAAACAAGCAACCATTGGGAGTGGAGTAGCAACATGGAGACCATCTCTGAGGCACATGCACAAAGGGAAGATCTAAAGCTGAACATGGAACAGGAATATTGTGAAAAAACGCTTCCCCACCCTACCTGAGGAATTTGACGCCTGGGGAGAAATGAAGGTAACAATAGCAACGACAAAATGCATAGCTAGTCAAACTCCTGATTTGTTTCATTCAACCCATCACACTAATTCTTAGCAGAGGAGGGGGCATGCCTATAACCAGGCAAAAAATTTTACCAATTTTTAATTTTTTTTAGTATTTACCAAAATATATACTATTTACCAAAGCCTCTAGTATATAAACACTATGATTGGAAATTAATCAAAGATTTATGAAACTACAATAAAACAAAACAAACAATAAACAAGTCTCAAGAGAAAGTAATTAACAGAAGAAGACTAATTGATAATTTAGATCTCATAAGAATGAGAGAGGGAATTGTATACACACACACACACACACACACACACACACACACACCTCACACCACATTCAAACTTCTGAAACACAAATATAGAAAACCTTGAAGGCATCCAGAGAAAATTAGACACATTACATATACAGGACCAAAGATAAGAATCTCAAAACAATTTGTTGTCAGAATCTATGCAAGCGAGAAGACAATGGATGGGTATCTTTAAAGTGCTGAGAGAAAAAAAAACATGGTCAATGCAGAAAGTTGTATTAAGTCAAAATAAAATATTTTTCAAAAATGAAGTCAACTAAAGACTTTTTCAGATAAAGAAACACTAAAAACTTTTGGTAACAGCATATGAGTTTTATTACATGGAATGTTAAAAGACGATCTCCTGGCAAAAGGATATGCTACCTGGGAGAAACCTAGATCTACACAAAGAAACCAAGATTCCTGGACATGTTGAAAATGAAGATGAATACAAAAGACATATTTTTGTCTTATTCTTATTCATTATAAAGATAATTGATTACCCAAAGATTTGTGAGTTTCTAGTATAGGTGAAAGTAAAATGTTTTATAATAGCACTGTTGTAAGGTCTTACACTGGATATGATGTGACATAATGTTAATAGGAAGGATTGGGATGACTTATAGTCGTAGATTGTGAATACCTAGCAAGGGCAATACGACAAGACAGATAAATAAGACATACAGAATGGAAACAGAAATAAAAGTGTTTTTATTCCCAGTCAACATTGTGTTCAAAGAAAACCTCAAATCTACAAAAGTGTTACTATGACTAACCAGTTAGTCATGATTAACTTTAAGAAAGTTGCAGGATGCAAAGATAATATGCCAAAACCAATTGTGTTTCTTTATATTTTCAACAATCAAATTGGAAATTAAAAATTGAAAAGTATCATTTATCATAGCACCAAAAGTAATGAAGTACTCAGTTATAAATCTAACAAAATATGGGTGATAGCTATATGAAACCTATAAAAAAAAACTGATGAAAGAAATTAAAGATCACCTAAATAAATGAAGAGATATGCCATGCCAGTGGGCTGCAAGACTTGATATTGTCACGATATCTACTCTTCCAAGACTAAGGTATAAATTCAACACAATCACAGCAGGATTTATTTTTCCCTAGGAATGGACTAGCCAATTCTTAAATCTACATGAAAATGCAAAGGAGTCAGAACATTCAAAAGATAATTGAAGAATAACAGATTTGGAGAGCTTGCACCACCTGATCTCAAGGCTTACTATCAAGCTATGAAAATTAAGACAGTGTGATATTGGTAAAAGATAGATACCTATGTTAAAGGAACAGAAAGCCAGCCCTTTTCACAAATTGTGTTGGGATAAGTAGGATGCCTATAAGGCAAAAATTAACCTTAACAAATATTTTGCACAAATACAAAAATTAACCCACAATAAGCCATTCCCCCCCCAAAAAAACCCCCTAAAATTATAAAACTTCTATAAGAAAACATAGGAGGAAATTTTTGTGACATTGGGCTAGGCAAAGATTTCTTAGCTATGACATTAAAAACATAATTCATAAAAGAACAATTTGGTAAATTGAGCTTCGTCAAAATGATAAGCTTCTGTTCACGAAAGACACTGAAAGATGTTCAGAGAATGAAAAGGCAAGCACAGACTGAGAGAAAATATTTGCAAAACACACATAACCGATAAAGAACTTGTATACAGAATGTGTAAACTCTCAAACCTCAGTAATAAAGAAAAAAATCAAACAAGCCAATACAAATGAGCACAAGATTTGAACAGATATTTTTGTCAATGAATACATACGATGGCAAGTTAGCACCTGATAGGAGATAGGGACATGCAAATTAAAAATACAATGAGATACCATTATATAATGACAAGAATAGCTTAACACAAGCAAGGAAAAACAGCTGACAGTACCAAATACTGGCAAAGATGCAGAGCCACAAAATCTCTCAGGCAGAGCTACTGGGAATGCAAAGTGGTGTGGTAACTTTGGAAACTTATTTGGCAGTTTTCTACAAAGTTTAACATATACTTATCATGTGACCTAGCAATCCTACTCCTAGGTATTTACCCATGAAAAATGAGATTTTATGTTTACACAGAATCCTGTATGTAAATGCTTAAAATGGTTTCATTATAAATGCCCCAAACTGAAAATGACCTCCAAAAGATCCACAGAACAGAATACTACTCAGCAGTAAAAAGGAACCATCTACTGATCCGTGGAATGGTAGGGACAAATCTGAAATGCATTATGCCAAATTAAAAAGTCAGATGAAAAAGATTGCATCCTGTGTGGTTCCATTTATATGGCATCTGCAAGAGGCAAAACTGTAGGGGTAGAAATCAGAATAGTGGTTGACAGATCCTGGAGATAGGAGGCTAGGGGTGACGACAAAGAGGCCCAAGGGAATTTGGAATATTAAGTATTTTGAGTTTGGTTGTGTTTTGACAACTGTAACCATTTGTCAAAGCTCTTAGAACCATCCACTAAAAGTTATGAATTTTACTGTATGTATGCATAAATTATACCTCAACAACTCTGACTAACACACACACACACACACACACACACACACAGAGTTTAAATATCACTTGCTGTAATGTGAGGTGAGTTAGTAAAACTTTCCAGCTTTCAGTTAGTCTCTTAATACTTTTATAAATGTAATAAAAATAACATTTAAGTCTATCTTAAGTTCAAGAAGAGCTGAGACAAAAAAGGCCAATTAAATTCCTTTGTAAAATTCATAGATTAAAATTGAATAATCAGTGAAGACTCAGTTTGGTGAATATTTTGATGTTTCATATTTCCTTTGGTTCAGAAGTTGTAGGTTTTATAAATTTCTGACCCTGAGTCTAACACTTCAGTTCATGGATTGATTTCAAAAAAACTTAAATATTCAGTTTCAGTTTGATTAGGTTTTCATAGTTTGCACTGTTTTGAGGCTCATTATTTGATTGTATTCAATCTCTCAGTTCTGCAGATTTTCTCAATTAAGTGATGCCTTTGTTGAGCTTGAGGTTATGGACAGAGAAGTTCAACAGATGTTTACTGACCCATTGGAAATGGCCTTACTATTTTGAGAGCCTATTATGTAGAAATGGCTTGTGGGTAAGCCGTTATACCTTTGTTACTCATAATTTGCAAGAGGTGAACTCATTATCTTGAGATCATAGAAACATTTCCAAAAGGCTAGGTAAAAGAATGTTAACATTAAAAAATAAAGTCAAATGTATCCCATATTGAAAAAAAAATTTTTTTTCTTGTATTGAATGAATTTTTCAATGAGGGGGGGTTCATGGCAATGTGTATTTTACTGTAATAATTTTTTAAAATTTAAACAGTCACCATATTTTTTTATCATACCTCATACATTCAATCTGAAATTGTTCTTAATATGCTACCCTGTAGCAAAGTTGTGGTGAAAACTTGCAGCTTTTTTTCTTCCTCTAGCTATTGAAGATTACCAACCAATAGCTTTTCAAAAATTAAACAGATTGTTTTAGGTCAATTTGCATAACCTACTATAAATTTTTCTTTACCCTCCTGGATGCCATGCTCTGTTTTATTGCTTCAAATGGCTAAAAGCAGAAAAGGGGAAAAAGTCAAAAGTGAGGTGACATCCTGTTACATAGCTCCTAGATTTGGGCAGTGTCCCCAGGATTCTGTTATAAATGCTTGAATGTTATGTTTTCTTATTTTATAGAGCCCTAAATTGAACATAAAAATAATTCCAAAAAAAATAATAAAGTCAGCCGCAGATGCTTCAAATGAGTCATGAAAGAAAGAAAGGCAGAAAACTGCAAGTGAGAAGTGAGGAGTAGTCTGCCTAAAATAATTTAAAAGCCATCACAGTGAACAAATATTTATATCTGTATGTTGGAAAATAAGTAGATCAAAATTCATGAGAGTTCCTTGAACCTACCTGAGCAGGAAATTTATTCTCATGCTGTGTTTCATGTTGAAAGAATTTGTCCACCCCATGGTCCTTGGTAGGATGTTCAATCTCTTCTGAGAAGATGGCGGCATCCCCATCAAAAGCCACACGGAGCTGTGTGTCACAGTAAGCCATGTCTTTGCCTCCATCAAACATCGTTGCAGAGGCGATCCCTGGGGATTGATTAAAACTCATCTCAGGGCCACAGGTTTTAGTTTCTATCATTAAAAAAATATTAAAAATCCCTCCCAGACCTTGCACTTTCTCTCTAGCTATTATTCCCTGATGACTCAAATCCTCTTCACAACCACACATTTCAAAACAGTTGTTTATGCACTGGCTCCACTTTTATAAGGGATGGAAATGTGTAATGTATGGATGTCCACCTCTAGAAAGGTCAAAGCTGTAAAGGCCAAACTTGAGTGCTGCTAAGGCGGAAACACCTTAGCAGAAAACCCAACAAGAGCATAAGCCACACAGTCACATGGGAAGCCCATTGTAAGTAACTGCTAGTGCAAAGCTCTTTATTAACTAGAGGGATAACACCAAGCTGATACCTTGTTGAATTGCTTCATGGACTTTTTCAGAATCCGCAGAAAGATACAAGTTGGTAAGATAGGTCTTCAAGTAGCCAATGGGGCTTTTCCCACCAGTCATACAGAAGCGATCAATTAGTAGGCCTGTGGTCGGACAGGGAAGACTTTGTTATGTCTAGAGACTAAAGACAAATGCAGATGAACTACCTTAGGAATAATTGAGTGCCTACTGAGGTTTTAGAATTACCTTCTTAGTGCCAATATTGACAAATATCTCAGCTATTTTAGGTAATAGTGGATGTGTTTGGTGTGTGATAGTTTAGAATGTCCACCCACATAGGTCATGCTGATTCAATCTCACAACTGGATGGCAAGCACTATCCTCCTCATTACAGAAAAGGAAACTGAGGCTTAAAGACTTGCCTCAGCCCACAGGTTCACACTGACTCTTGTCTTTCAACTATAGCCTCCTCACACGTTGAAGGGGCCAGTTAGTGTGGCTCTATTTCAAGTACCATTTCTGTATTTCTTCAGTAAAAATGCAATAGTAATAACAGGTAGTGCTAGGAATAAACTCCTTTTTAAAAAGAACAACAGGAAAGTGCCTCTCCTGCCTTGAAATTTTGTCTTTTTTTTTTTTAGCTGAGCCATCCTGCCACCTGTTGGTAGCTCAGCGGCTGCTCAGCTCGGGCCAGGACTTGAACTGCTGTTGCTCAGAGCTCAAACTCTTGAGCGAGCTCTTAACCAACTGAGCCAGTCAGCCGGCCCCTGCCTTGAAGTTTTAAATGGAATTATTAGCAGACTAAACACTACTACTATACCATCAAATGCCTTTCAAATCAGCACCAGTGAAAACAAAAACACTAGGTATTGGTGAGAGGTTTGTAAAGTAGGTACCTAAATACACTGTGGATGAAGTATAAATTGCTACAAGCCATCTGGAAAGTAATTTGACAATATGTATCAAGAGCTTTTAACAGGATTATACCTTTTTACCTAGGATTCCCTTTTTATTTTATTTTATTTTTTTTAGGGAATAATCTGAAACTCTAATAGAGACTTATGTAGAAAGGTCTCAGCCTCAGTGCAGGACTATTAATAAATGCAAACACTGTTCACCCTTGTTAACACTTCATAGTTAAATGTAACACTATGCAAATAAAATCTCGTGTACCCATTTCAAGTGTTTTTAGATATGTGATAAGCTGGGTAGCTGTACATGATAGAAAGCAGAATTTTGAGTCTAGTCAGTTGTTTAACATCTCTGTGGACCAAGAGAGTAGATAGGGCCCCTCAGCAGTGAGGTGGATGTGGTTGCTGTGGTAATGACAAATTACTCTCACTTTTTCACTTACGCCAACATTGGGCCTAACAAAGATGATAGCAGAGAGATGTACAAATTGCCTTCAGCTCCCAGAGAATGGGAGTAACTAACTCTTCCAAGTAAAAGGTTGTTATCCCATGAATAGGCTGCATGAGAAGATTGTGCTCAGTCAGTTATTAGCAGAATTAATTGATAAATAACATATTTTTTTTCATGCTACTACCCTCCATGGGCTCAGGGTGGGGGGGTAGATAGACCTAAATCACTTATTAAATCAAATAAGAGCATGTGTTGTAAAAATAATGGCTGCAGTTTGTTGAGTGATCATTCTGTGCCAGTCGTCTATGCTAAACCTTTTATGTACGTTCTCTCTTTTCATGTCATAACACTTTGAAGGCCACATTATAGAAAGACAAGCATTTTTTAAACTATGTCTCAGTAAGACACCAGCCTTATAGTTAGGCTACCATAATATAAAACTCATAACTTGTTAATATATCTTTATTATTTATGAGTATGCCCAATTTAAACCTAGACTTTAAATATGCCAAATTTAAACCTTATTTTGGCTTGGCATACCCACATGACTGGATCTGTCACTTAGTAAATTGGCTAAAAGTCCCCAAATAAGCAGTCAGGTAATTCCATGACACAGTGAGGGGAATGTGATGAAGGGACTCGAGTCCATCCAACTTTCCATGTAAAGGGATAAAGACAACTTTGCAGGCCTGAGTGTGGATTGGATGTGTGGGGAAAGCAGCCAGGGAGAATCAGATTTTCAGAGTGGAAAGGAAAGGTGAAAACCTTTAAACCTTTCACATGTATCTGTGGTGAGCAAGAAGCTTGATCTCACCGAGAAAGCCTCCGGGTTGACGGCTCCTTGAAGTCAAGTTCAGAAGTGTAAAACATAAAACAGAAATATATTACAGGACCTGGGATTAAGACTTTGAAATTCACACTTGACAAGTTAAGGCCAGAGCTTTGGGCCCAACTCTGTGCTGAAGTTAAAAATGAACATGGCCTCTCTTGTTCTGACATAGGCAAATAAACATTCCTCACGCAGAAGGGGGTGTCAGTATCAAAGACACTGCGTTCGTTAGGCCGCAGTTAGCAAAATAACATGGCTTCTCTCCTCCCGAGCCGCGACTGTACTTGCACATGGTATTTATTTTACTTACCATAGTGATTGACGCTGTTTATAAGCCGCACTCCCACTTGGGCATGGTTATTAGTCATCAGTACAATATCAAATAAGTCCTGTTCGTCAGGATACAGATCTCGGAGTCGAGCATTGACATGCTGCAGAGCCTGCCGGTCACAAACACGAATGTGGGTAAAGAGGGCCAGGCGAGGTGGGCGTTGGGGACCTGCAGCACAGTGATCTGTTCAAGCTTTGAAGACGGGGCTCCGTGAAGGCAGGGCTCGGCCACTGATTTCTGTATTTTCTGCCTCGCCTACACAGAACTTCAGATAATGTTTACTGAATAGATAGGAGGCGTTTGTTGAAAATTGCTACAACATTTGGTTCACTAGAAATAGCTCTTGTTGGGTAGGTAGAGAGAAGGATCAGGCTAATAGCCCTTTTCTGCTTTGTCATTTTTTTTTTGGTGGGGGGAGGATATTGTAAAACCTGCCTTTTTTGATCATCTGATGATGATTTCTTATTGTGAAAAATTTAGATGAATTTGCATGTTAACCTTGCACAGGGGCCATGCTAATGGTCTCTATTGTTCCAATTTTAGTGTATGTGCTGCCGAAGGGAACACGTTGTCTATTTTGAAACAGGAGTCCGTAGAATAGGTGCATGGCTTCCTCCCTGCCTCTACCGTAGCCCATAAGTACTTTCTATACAACTGGTGGAGGTGTCATTTGTTTCTGCCTGGTTATGATGTTATCGTGTAATGTTTGTTTAAGTTACGAAGAGGATCACAGTTGTAAGTACTATACACATGTGTATACGTTCAGAGAACCCTACTTTCTCTATTAATATCATGCCCTTAAGTGCCAAGAGCATCTTGATTTTCTGTATATGCTGTGCCTGCGGCAAGAGCAGCAAAGGTGATTTCATTTCATTTTAATGAGGCATTTTATTTCCACTAGTGCTTGGAACTGTAAACTCATTATTGCTTCTGGCCACTGCTCTTCCTAGGGAGGGAACCGAGTTTTCTATCACAGGTCTCAGGATGAGGACTCTGCTTAGGGAAGCCCAACCTCCCAAATCCAGGGATGGAGTCCCTTCCTCAACAGCCGGGAAGCCTCTGTGAAAATACAAACTGACCCGGGGTCAACGTTAGAAGGGCAAGAATGACAGACATGGGCTAGAGAGTAGAAGAGAACATGGCGGAGATCCCGAGGGTCGGCCTGAATCCCTCTCCTGACCATCTAGGGTCCTGGCAGACACTCTGCAGAGTACCTTGACAAAGCGGAAAGCAGGCCCTGGAGTCAGGATGACATTCTCGTTGCTGATCTGATACTCCATGTACTTTTCCAGACCCTCTTCCTCGTAGACTTTCCTGCCATCCGTCATGTTGAAGAGAGCCTGGGATGACACAGCGACGGTGATGGCATGCTTGGGTTTGACCTGCAGAGAGGGGTGCGAATGGGGGTACAGTCGCAAAGACCCAGAGGGCTCAGAAACGGGCCTCATCCCAGGGCACGGTGGGAAGAAAACAGCTGGGCCCTTGCTTGGAGCCCTGGGATGCTGGAGATAGCCAAGACTTAGGTCCCGAGGCTGCAGCAGGGAGGTTTAGGGAGGAGCAGCAGGGGGCTGAGATGGACGTCCCAGCAGTACAGACAGAGGAGGGAGGCTGGGAGAGGCTTGGCCCCCTGTGCAGAAGGGCACCCGCGGTCCCAGGGGCGGTGGGCCCTGCTCACCGGCCGGGGTCGAGAGCAGTTTGGGTTCTTCTCATACAGTGTCCTCACGGATGACCAGTAGGCTTCTTCGTCATCGTCCTCTTCCTCCCGCTGCTGCCGGGGAAGGTCGGATATACAGTCGCGGTCCAGCTGGGAGGAGTAGTGCGCCTTGCGCTGGGCATAGGGCTTCCATTCATTGGGGGGCGTGCGGGGGTATTCCCGCTGCTGAGTATCCCGGGGGTCCCGCGGGTCCCGCCCTATGCCATGGGCCCAGTTGTCAGTGTTCTCATGCATCTTGCTGCTGCGCCGGAGCGTGGACTGCGGCTGGGGCTCCGGGGGCGTGGGAGGACAGGAGTCTGTAGGCGCTGGTGGCGTGTGCGGCGCGGTCGGAATGGGCACAGAGGCCTGCGTGGACAGTTCTTGCTGAGACTCTTGCTGGCTGGGGGAGGTGGATGAAGTCCGGGAGGTTGTGGAGCTGGTGGGGACCTGGAGCAAGAAAAGGGGCGTCTTCGTTCCATGCTGGCCTGAGGTCCCTGTCCCGGTCTCTGCCCAGCTGGAGTCAAGGAGCTGTCCCCTTGTCTCCGCTCCATTCCTAGCCCTTAAGTGGATCCTGGTTCGTCTCGGCCCCTTTAGGTGGGGGCTTAAAGAGGCTTAGACATCCCAAGGCTCCAGATATTAGATATTTCTGTTAAATGGGCACAATCTGCTTTCATTTCCCCTTAGCTCCCCCAGTGGCACCTCACACTTTCTTCCTTTTTTATTTTATTTATTTTGTTGAGTAGATAGTGTACAGGCCCTCTTCTTGCCCTTAGGCAGATGACACATGGTTTGCAAAGTTCTGTCACTTGCCTCCGGCATGTATACCTGCCCAGACAGAGGCCTCTGGGTAGGCAGAGGGCTTCCGTAAGGGACCTTACTGGCCACTGCCTCCATCTGTGACCTCCGGTTAACCTGATGAGCAACTTGACCAGATGTTCCCACCAGAAGACTCTACAAAGCCACTTGGGGTGGCCTGTCCCCACATTGACCCTGTTATTAATGTACTGATGACTAGAAGTTTGGTAGGTGGGAGAATTTAGTATCTCCCCGTTGCCTTTGGAGGTCTGTGCATCTGTGGAGCTCCATTGGAGGGAAGCATCTTCTGGAACAGGAAGGAACGGTCATGAGGAAGGACTCTTACTAAGGTGTGCAATCAATTATGACGCATTCACACAGTATTGCAGATTTTACGATTGTTCCACCTGTTTCAAAAGGCATTTTCTCGGTTAGATGACTGAACCAGTCCTCGCGGAGATAGATGGACTGGTAGGAATACATGTTTCCCCAGTGGCTGGGTCTGTGTCATCTCTCTGCATCCAAAAATTTAATCTTGAAACTAACTTTTTTGTCTTATGTGGCCAGGCTAAGTTAGGCACCCAGGCTTAGCCACACAATGTAATGCCCTTCAACAAATTATTGTCTTTGTTGACCGTTCTACCCCGTCTCCTTGGTCTTGGGTACATAGTTGTTGAATGAAGGAAGGAATGAGAAACCATATCATTTAATCATTAAGTGTACAGCTTATAGACCTAGAGACCCTGGGTTTTAAACTAGCTCTATTAGGGTTATTCATGTGAACTCTTAGGCAAGTTATTCTGTGTTTCAGTTTTCTCACCTATAAAATAGAGCTTACAGCATTATTTTTTTGGGGGGGGTGCTAAATTAGCTAAAACATATAAAGTACATAGAGCAGGTCCTGGCATTTAGAAAGCATCAATAAACATTAACCATCATCATCATCAGTATTATGATTACATCATCATTATCATCATCATCATCGGCATAATGCAGTATTATGATGATGGCAATGATGATAATGATGATGTAATCATCATAATACTGATGATGATGATGGTGAATGTTTATTGACCATCATAATACTGATGATATGAGGATGATAATGATGATGCAATCATGTACTCCATTCTTTCACGTCCATCTTTACCTTAAGACTGGCAGTCTTGCTTCTGTTCTCTTCTACTGATGGGGCTCTGGTGGATGGGCTCCGTGAAGTTCGGGACCACTCACTTCGCACGAGGTACCCACGAGAATCTGTCTTCGGCAATGATAATTCTTGTGATTCCTTTTGAGGAGAGAAGAGACCCAGGAATGTAATACCGCACCACCCAGTCCTCCCATGCATGTGCCTACAGAACAGCCACGTCACACTAAACACAGCAGCGCCCAATGAGAAGATCCCTGGCCTCTATGATCCTTAATTCAACCTTGGCTCTTGTGTACTCATCTAGCTCTGGCCCAACCCTAACTTCTGTGAGGAGCAACAAAATGAGGATCCATCTGGAAGAGCATTCAAAACCAAGAACAGATCTGACGTCTCATAGTTTCTCACCTGTGCCTCCTCCTATATGGTACTTAGTACTGAGTTGACCATTATTTCTCCCTTTCCTCTTCTTCCCTAAGGATAAGCCCATTAACAGATGCTAAAAGGAAATAGCCACCATTTTTGAGCAGACTTCAAAGATGAGGGCAGCTGGTACCTACACAAGGGCAGCAGGAGCTGTGTCAGTAGGACTAGAATCCTCTAGCATTCCCTTCAGGGGGAACCACGGTGAAGGTGACCATGGAGAGGCGAGTGGAAGTTTCCTTTCCCCACACCCTTCCCCTCACCCAGATTGACTGTAGCTCCCCTCCAAAATGGGTCGTTTGATCTCTGCTCACCCTGATCATGCTGATCTGCCGGCCCTGCTCCCACAACAGGCACATGTGCATATAAATATGTATTATGCGGCAGGGGCCAAGAAGGACTGTTCCCTCAGCTGCACTAAGGCAGTTTCTACACGGCAGGTGACCACGCATAGGGCAACATCTCAGCCAGTGATTCGGTTTGACTGCACGCCTCATCTGAAAGATGGTGCAGAAAATGGTCAATGCGATGGCCAGACTCCCCTGCCCTCCCTGATCTGAACAAAAACCAGCATCCTCCCACAGGCTGAGCAGAGGAGACAGCAGGGTTTTTCCACCATATATCCTATATGAACGTGGGGGTGTGTACCGGACGGAGGGCAGGGACCAGCTCCCTCTAGCCCTGTCTTAACCTCTCCATGAGGGATATTAGGTATACCTTCATACAAATCTCGACAGCGCAGTCTTCTCTTGCAGGCCGCTCTGCCCCCTCCTACCTTCTAGGATGCTTTTCGCTTTTTAATTCTCTCACCAACTCTAGAGGTCAGCTCACCTTAGTGGTCAGACGAACTCCTGATCTCTCAGACTCCCTTTTTTTCTCTGCTTCTAGACTGTCTCTTGAGTGTTTTGTTCCAGACTCATTCTTAATATGGAAACAAAGACAGTTTATTAATTTTCATCTCAGGCATTTGAAACCTGGGGTTTGGATTTGAAAAGATAAATCAACATTAGCATTTGTCTCTTTGCCAATATCAAAAGCTATATAAAGCTGAGGCATGTTTTCTGCCCTGTTCTAATAAGCATGAGTAAAAATGACACATCAGAGAACTATACAAATAATTGTTAATGTAGAAATTTGTTGGTTTATAGATTCGAGGCATGAGGCATTTATCCTTTATAAAATGATAACCTGGGAAATGCTATGGGAGAATTTTCCAGGGGTCAGTGTTGTATGAGGTTTAAGTATGAGGTTGCTTACACAGAATACATTTTTTTTCCTCTGTTACTCTGAGGACTGCTACTTATGGAACTTTTATTTTACCATGCAAAATTGAAACTTTTCTTGTTTTCTTAATAAATCATAAGTCCAATTTTCTGTGGATCTAAGCCTCACCAATGATAATCTAAGTTTTAAAATTAAGGAACTTAATTCTGTACAGATCCTGGATGGATCTATTGACAGGCATGCCTTCTGTTCATATGATCTAATTACTCACAGAACTTAGAGTGAAAAGAGGTTTCTTTCTTTTTTTTTCTTAATTAAAATTTATTGGGGTGACAATGGTTAGTAAAGTTACACAGGTCTCAAGTGTACAATTCTGTAACACATCACCTATATATCACATTGTGTGTTCACCACCCAGAGTCAGTTCTCCTTCCATCACCATATATTTTATCCCTTTTACCCTCATCTACCATCCCCCTCCCCCCTTACCCTCTGGTAACCACTAAACTGTTGTCTGTGTCTATTAGTTTTTATGTCTTTGTTGTGTTCCTTTGTTGCCTTCAGTTTTATAACCTATGTTTTGGTGAAATCATATGGTTTTTTACTTTTTCTGTCTGATTTACTTCACTTAGCATAACAATCTCAAGATCCATCCATGTTGTCGCAAATGGCACTATTTCTTATTAACAAACTAATAGAGAGGCTGCGTAGGAGAGCACAAGAACTCACTTCATGGACACTTATTCAGATATTTGTTTTTGTTTTCAATTGTGAGAAATACTGTTATATTGGATCACTATTTATATCATTTCATGCTAATTTGGTAGCCATAATGTGATCAAGATTAATGCTATTTATTTGTTTAAGGAGCTCAACTTCTAGCTTAGACCAAGGTACTCAGGGGCAGTCTGTTCATCTCTCTGTACTCTGCACCTTATACCCAGGAAAAATCTGTCCAATGGTAGTTCGATGATTGAGCCTGTGACAACAGAGAATGGCATAGCTGTGCGGTCCTAGAGCTAACCCTACAATTTTCCCATCCACCCCCTAACACCCTTATACTACCACCATGAAATCCTGTCGTAACTCCCAAAGGTATTTTAAATCCAATCCCTCTTTCGCATCTCTGTTATCATTGCCTTGTACCAGGTCTCCGATCATCATGGGCCCACATTCTTAGAATTTAGCTTTTGGCTCAATTTCATGGCCTCAAATCCTCTCAACTTCTACATCCATCCATCCCATTTATTTAGGGTGATATTTATAAAACATACATTTAATTATTCTTCATTTCTGAATACACTCTTCCTTCACTTGGTTAGACAAACCAGGAGCCTCCTTGATGTATCCTGTCTTCTAACTTGCATATCTCTGCTCTACCCTTTATCTCTACCTTCTTATGCCAAATGACTTGTGTTTGTCTATCTACCACCCCGTTTACTTGTAATCTCCTCTTCCCCCTAATATTCTTCAAGCCCAGCCCAGAGTGACCGGGGAGATCTTCCCCGAGTTAATCATCCCCCTGTGTCTCCTGTGTCTTTTGTACATACTTTAACTGATCACTGACTGCACTTTGTGTATTCTCTTTACTACTAGGCTCTCCATTCTTTAATGATAGCAACTGTGTTTTCACCTCTTATCATGAATATATGAGCATATGCTCAATAAATGCTGACTTATTAGATTGAGTTGTAATATATGCTTTAATCTCCTTTTTCTCTGCCCTCTTCTTTTCCTTTACTTCTCTTTCCATTTTCTCTACATGTAGTCATCATCTGAAATTATTGGATTATTTCAGAGACATTCCAGAGGTAAGTGATGGACTGATATCTACTTTCCCTGGCTCGTAGGCAAGATTCTAAGATGTTTAATTCACTCACCTTCTTTTTATGTTTCAGAGATGTTTGACTCATTTCTTTAATTATTGAAATTCTTTTGCTGTTATGCAGGGTTTCATCTCCCCAGCTCCATTTCTTGTTGTTTCTGTTGCTGAGTCTACACTGGCATGTAGAATGTCAAATTCATGACATCATCTGAGATTCCATAGTAACAAAATGACTCTGTGAATACATGACTATAAAAATAGCAGTATTATTTATTCATATTTGAGTACATCTACTCATAATTATTGTCTGGGTTTTTAGGAACTGATGTCTAAACAATGTTCAAATGTTTAATATGTAGCAATATTATTTTTTGTTTAAAGTTTCTTTTAGCATTGCTATGTCACTTACCATATCAGTCTCATTTTTGGCTGCTGATTTTCTTGCCAAAATTAATGGAAAACTTGTTTGTGGACCTGATCATTTATTATTGTTCATACTGACTGATTTTGGAGAACTTCCTCTGGAGACATCTGAGATTTTGCTCTAGATATGGAGTTTAGATTTTACTGTTTGGCATTTCTTTCACAGCAAGGCCATTTCCATTTCACAAGGTCAAAGCTTTTTCCTTATTTCTAGGCACAGTATGATAGAATGATACTTGCATTGTCTTTCCTGCTGTTTACCCCATCCTTAAAAATTTAAACACACATCTGTTCCTCTTGTGTACACAGACTATGTGAATAAAATCCAGCTCCCAACTCTGGTTCACAGGTTCCAATAATGCTCTGCATTTTACAGTTCTGAGGTTATCTTCACCCAGGGTTTAGGTAAGAGACACGTGCTACACCAACCTGAGTTGGTCAAACTTCATGAACTGAGATAGATTTCTGGCCTCTCTTCATGGGAGTTCATAACTTAGTTTGACTATCAGGAGACGTTTCTGGCAGCTTCTATCAAAGTCCTCCAAGGGGTCTTCTAGATAGTAAAATGCGCAGGCTGTAGGTAAGGCATTATGTTTACCCACCGTACCTCACTGTGATACTGGGCAGGTGGTATAATTTTCCTAAATCTCAACTTCCTCATCTGTAAAGAGACAATAATTGTATCAACATCAAATGATAATTGTGATAGTTGCAATAATATGAAGTGCTTAAGACAATGATTGGCAATCATAACTAATTAATAAATGTTAGCTATTACTTTTGTTCATAATTTTGCTACAGTTATACTACAGAGTTCAAATGGAAAAATCTTTAACTAATTTAACCCCCACTACAATCTAAAATGTAAGAACAGAATTTTGAAAATACTTACTGTTCAGATACACCTCCTAAACCAGTCAAATGCCAGTTTTGTGAATCTTCCCATAGTTTTTTTTTTTTTTTTAAAGATTTTTTATTGGTGAATTGGGGGGATGGGAACAGTGCTGGGGAATTGGGGGAAGGGGGTCAGACAAGTTGCTGTCGTTTTTTGTTCTTCAGTCTAGTTGTGGAGGATGTTGCTTCACTGGCCCAAGTTGGCACCATCATTGCGCTCTTCCCTGGCGAGGCAGATCAGTCACCGGCTTCTGGACGGCCGCTCACTGCGGCTGCTGGCCGCTCACGCTGGCTGCTGGCTACACATGGTAGCCCATGGCAACCCACTGCCACAGGGACTACAGCCTACGCCGTCGCCAGCGACTCACGGCAGCCCAGTTCCAGGTTGAGCTGTTGTTCAGCATCTTAGCTGTAGAGAGCAGTGTCACTGGCCCTCCTATGTGGGATCCGAACCAGGGCCCTCTGGCATCCCAAGCGAGTTCTTAACCATCGCGCCACTCGGCTGGCCCCCCATAGTTTTAAGTGGTGCAGAGAGCAAGGAAGGCAGGCAGAGAAGGACCAGACATTAGAGCAGCAGTTAGGAACCAAAGCTGGAGAGCTCTGACGCTTGGGTTCTACAAAACAGAGGAGGAAGATTTTGCAGGGATGAGGGCTTCAAAGAATCTTTGGTTTCTGACCAGTTCTTCTAGCCAACACCCAAGCTCAACTTTTGGTTCTGGTCCTTTCCATGACTCTTCCATGTAATTCAGCCTTTATATATTCAGTAAGTTATTTGATTATTGGTCTTTTCTCATCAAACACAGCCCAGGATAGAATATTATCCTAATGAATATTTTGAATTATTTTATGTATTGAGACATAAATACGTAACTACTTGTTTTGCTCTGAGTGCTGAGGATGAAATTAAAGAATTATGTGTACGTTTTTTTTCAGATTTTCTAATTTGTTTTTCTTTATTATCTTCTAATTCTCAACTTTGTTATTGAGCATGTAAAACTACACATACATGTAGGTGGCTGTATTAGTCAGGGATCTCCAGAGAAGCAGAACCAGTAGGACATATACCTATGTACCTATATATCTATATCTATATCTGTATCTATCTATATCTATATCTTTATCTATCAACTATATCATCTGTATCTAGATATAGAGATATAGATACAGATGATATAGATGTATAAGAGGTGCTTTATTATGGGAATTGGTTCATGTGTTTATGGACACCAAGAAGTTTTACAATATGCCACCTGTAAGCTGGAGAACCAGGCAAGTTAATGATGCAATTCAGTCTGAGTCTGAAGGCCCGAAAAACAGGGGAGACAATGGTGTAAGTCCCAGTCTGGGCAAAAGCCTGAGAACTTGAGGGGTTGCTGGTTTAAGTCCTGGGGTCTAAAGACTCCAGCCCTAGGAGCTCTGATGTTCAAGGGCAGGAGAAGATGGATGTTGCAGTTCAAGTAGAGAGAGAATTTGCCCTCCCTGCAATGTTTTTGTTCTATTTAGACTCACAACAGATTGGATAGTGCCCACCCACATTGATTAGGGTGATATTCTTTACTCAGTCTACATATTCAAATGCTATTTTTTTCCAGAAACACCCTCACAGACACACAGAGAAATAAAGCTTTACCAGATATTTGGGCATCCCTTGGCCCCATCCAGTTGATACAAAATTAACCATGGCAGCAGCATATCTTTTGTTTGGCTTAGGTTCCTCTTTCCATGAGCTCAACCTTGGTAATAAAGCCGAGATGCTTTGATATTATGACATTGTCATACAGCCTTTCCAGATCTCCCCAAATTGGTTCTGAGAATGAAATTATCATTCTCAGTTCTAGTTGTGGATAATTTTTTTTTAAAAGGCGCTCCATAAAAGGACTTAAGAGACATTTTGGAACACTGCAAACATGGACAAGTCTAAGTGGGCGTTGTCCATTTATTTTTGGCAAATCTTATTTGACTGTCACCATGGTTACAGACAGGAATATACCCATTCCCTAGGCAATGCTAAAAGGATATTGCTGTGCGTGATTTGTGGGACATGGATCCCACCGGCTATCCTCCTGCTATTTCTTATTTTCTTGGGGAGTTGTGATATTATTCAAAATTTCTCAGGACATTAGCAGACTCCTCTTTGGTTGGGAGATTTTCATAATGCAGGACATAGATTGGGTATTACAACTAGGGAACACTCCAAAGAATCTTTTGTCTTAATCATGGCCACCCTGCCCCTCCCTCAACTGTAGAAATAAATGCTGTGGAAAGCAGCTCTATTGCCCTCATAGCTTTTCTTCTCTGAGTTTAAAGATATGAACGTCACTAATGTCAAAATGTGAACAGTTTTTTTACTATTTTGAAGTATTAATATATGTAGACAGATAGGTTCAAAGGTAATAAAATTTAGTGAAAATTGGAGAGTTAGAAAAAAGAAGCCATCTGTGAACTCACTATTCTAAGATAGTCATAATTAAAATTGGATTGTTCAAAAATTTTTGCATCCACTTGCCTAATGTTTAACATTCCCTCCTTTGTAATATATTGTTAGAATTATATAGTATATGTAATTCAGCATCCTGATTTTTCCTATACAATATTAAGCACAAGTGTTTTCCATATTATTACCTGGTTTGAGTAATTAAAAATTTAGTGACTCCCTGATGTTTTAGAGTGGGTACACTACAATTTGCATAAGTTTTTTTCTAATATTTGGGGTATCTTTTTTTGTTTTTGCTTTTATAGATACTATTTTCCTGAGTATCTTCTTTCTTTAGCTAAGTAAAAGTTCCTTAGTACAAAATCTTTCTTTCCGACATGACTAGAACCTTCAAACATGCGGTTGGGCGGGCCCATCAGACCCCAAGTGCGCATGACGGAGCCTCCCCTCTGTTCAGCAGGACCAAATCCGGTTGGCTGGGTAACAAGCAGTTGGCAAGCAGCCGCACATGACCTAGGAGCTTTACAAATCTCACTACCCAGACCACAATCCCTGGCAGGTTTAAGGAGAATCTCTGGGTGTTAGAAGCCACATGTCAGCATTATTTGTGTTTGGCTAGAGGGCTCCAAGTATAATTGTAAAGGTGCCTAATTCCCTAGCCACCCCACCCACCTCAGCCCCATTGCCTTGAGTTCAGTTCTGCAGACACTGTGAAGGGCCAGGTAACATCATCCTTATGAAGCTGGGCTCCTAAGCAAGAAACCCCAGGCTTTTTTGACTCCTCCCTCTCTTTTCTCAAGTTCTTACGATGTCGCACCTCTTTTCTCTTAGCAGTATTTTTCAAACACTAGGCTTTCTTCCATTCTATTAGCTTTAGGTAAAGTCTTCATCTTTCCTGTGAGCTAAGCAATTCTCCTCACTAACAGTTGAGGCTACAGTACTGCATTCTTCTTCTCAAATTCATCCTTAAATAGCCTCTAAAAACATCTTTCAAAAGCACCAATAGGATCTTTCACTCCCTATTTAAAACACTTTGTGGGGAACCACTATTTTTGAAGGATGAAATCTCAAACATATTAGCCTGCTATGAAAGGCTTTCCATGACTTAGCCTCACCCCCATCCCCCATTCCTCACCTGCTGCCCTAGCCCTAGATAACTCAACTTCTTACAAACCCCTTCTTGCTGCCCTTTTTAGAAAACTTCTTTATTGAGATATAATTCACATACCATATTCACCCATTTGAAGTGTATAATTCGGTGATTTTTTAGTAGTCTCAGAGTTGTGCAACCATTACTACAGTCAATTTTAGAACAGATTTATTATCCCTTTTCAATT